TACTGGTATTGTAACATCTTCAATTTTATAGAACAGAGGTGTTGTCTGTTGATGAAAAGAGGAGAAAAAAAGAGCAATGGCTTGTTATGAATCAATTGCATGCTCAGGTATTTCCTACTTCAGAAATGTCAGGCCCTAGAAACTAATATTTTCACCTTATCCCCAGCACCAAACGTTTGTAAGCAAAACTGCCTTCTAAGCAAGAATCCTGTATTATAAATTTATGTGTATGCTTGTTCGATTTATATCCTGCCTTCTTTTCAGGAACTCGTGGTAAGGATAGGATAGGATAGGAAGGGACCTTGGAGGTCTTCTAGTCCAATCCCCTGCTTAGACAGGAAACCCTATACCCAGTGGTGGGTTTCAATTTTTTTTTGGAACCTACTCGGTGGGTGTGGCCTCCTTTGTGGGAGTGGCTTGCTGGCCATGTGACTGGGTGGGAGTGGCTTGCCGGCCATGTGACCGGGNAATTACCTCTTCAAAATCTTGGTGCGTCTTATACTCCGAAAAATATGGTATATTATAGAAAAGGCAATCATTGCTACTTCTGCTCAACCCTTCTTACGACTGATCATGCTGTTGTGACACTATGCAGCATTTGGGAGACATTCCAAACCTTTCAAAATCTTCAACAATCATCACTGTATGTTAGAAATACTGATGTGCAGTGCCATATAAGTTACACAAGAAAGAACTGCAGTTCTTGCAGTATTTACAGCCATTGCCGTTGTGAAGCAGAGTTTTCAGAAAAAAGGACTAGAGCAGGGGTGTCAAACTCAAGGCCCGTGGGCTGCATCCGCCCACGGGGTGATTAGATCTGGCCCCCAGGGCCACCCTGGAAACAGCGAAGGACGGGTCCATGGTGCCTCTGTCAGCGAAAATGGAGCTTGGGAGGCTGCGAAGACCTCCTGCAACCCTCCGCATGTGGCCCTCTCGAACTCCGTTTTCACTGGCAGAGGGTTGCGGGAGAACATCGCAGCCTCCCAAGCTCTGTTTTTGCTGGCAGAGGGTTGTGGGAGAACATCGCAGCCTCCCAAAATCCATTTCTTACTCTGCTGTTTTTCTGGAAATTTAGCCTCCAAATTCACCCTTCATGTATTTTAACAGACTCTGCCATGATTTGGGTTATAACTGTTAGGCTAGGTAGTTAGTTATTCAATGTAATGTCTCTCTTACTACAGATAAACCTCAGCCTTCGACCCATTTGGAATAGAGTTTCCCTTGCTAAACAACTTAGTTGTGATGTAAATTGCACCCAATTTTATTAACTTTTCTTTTTCTTTTTTTTTGCCACGGTGGTTAAGCGAATTGTGTGCTCATTAAGCAAATTGTGGCTCTTCCCATTGACTGCTGGTCAGAAGCCACAAACCACGTGACTCCGGAACACAGCAACCTAAATTTTGATCACACAACCCCTCGGTTTGCTGTGACAATCATAAGTAACTATTTTCAGTGCCGTTGTAACTTAAAACTGTTGCTAAATTAACAGTTGTAAGTCAAGGCCGAGGTGGAGTCCAGTACTGCAGGCTACATCAGCTGACTGCTAGCTGCAGTTCAGCAGTTCAAATCTCACCAGCTCAAGGTTGACTCAGCCTTCCATCCTTCAGAGGTGGGTAAAATGAGGACCCATTTGGGGGCAATATAACTGACTCTATGCTTAGAGAGGATTGTAAAGCACTGTGGAGTCGCAGTGGTGGGTTTCAAAAATTGTTCGAACCTACT